ACGCTGCGGATTGAGGGGGGGGGGTTGTCATCAAGTAGGATGTATTGGGGTTCATTTTTCTGGCTCGGTTCACGTAAAAGGAAATTTAAAAAAAATAGTTGACAGTTCACGCACGCACACACACACACACACACACACACACACACACACACACACACACACACACACACACACACACACACACACACACACACACATATATATGTATATATATATATATATATATATATATATATATATATATATATATATATATATATATATCCATGAACATTACAAAGTTCAGTGTCCCAATTAGTAAAATACCACAGGGTCGATCCATTCCACCATGGAAAATAATCAACATTGATCGTGCACCTTACATGTCTACCACAAAAAGACAGTACAGTGTTACGTTGACGGATCCGTACAGTCTGGATATAAAACTGGCTGTGCTTTAGCTGTATACAGTATTGGCTTACTACAACATGAAGTTAATATGAGAGTGCAAAATTGGGCCAGCATTACATAAACAGTGTTGGCAGATATCCTCCTTGCATAGGAGTATACCTGCTTATATAGGCCGATGTGTAAAAGAAGGCTTTTACGGGGAATATAGGTATTTAGACCTTTTTGTTATCAAGTTCATAATCTTTTATATCCAAAATTTTGCCTCTTTGTATCTGTTAATCCATTCATCTTCTCTTTGTTTATCCATTTGCCTATCTACATATGCATGACGAAGGAAGGCATGAATGAAAGTGAAAAATGTTACAACGTGCAGTTGCGTTCGGATATCATTTCAGAATTACATAATTTTAATAGCATAGGCCTAATACTGAAACAAAACATACTAAAGTGTGATAATGTGCATTATCATTAATGCCTTTCCAACAGGAAAATATGTTTATATCAGTTTATATGATATGCAAAAATGTATAAATCTGGAAATATCTGTGTGTATTATTATTATTACAAGTATGGCGCTCTACAACTTTGTATATATATTGCCTGGACTACAAAACGTTGGTGACCATTGAGGTATTGACAGATTTTCAGTTGATAACGTTTCATTGTCGTAGAGCAAATTCTAATTAAACTATACCTCCTAATTCAATTTCATTACTTCTATAATAACACATCAGGTGATATAAAAATAGTAATAGGCGTTGGTAGTACAGAGAAGATAGTTTACGCATTTAATTTCAGTTAAAAAAGAAGCAAGGAACTAATCCTTATTACATCACAAAAATGCATTTTGTGTGTCCTGTGAAATCAAGGATGAACACAAAGGATTGGACTGGCTGAAAATAATTTCGCTTCTGCTTAAATTTCCATCCTCCCTTTATATCAATGAAGACGGAATGCGTGCCGTAGTAGGCCTACTTATGAACGGGTCATGAGCTCTAAAAGTTCTGAAAAGTAGTATAGACTTTAGAGTAGCACTAAAAGTGAAAGAAATGCCATGCGTTGGGCTTGCTATCCCAAGCGACACTCTGAGAACGTCCCAATAGCAACAGCGTTGTCCGCGGTGCGTGTTGCTAACAAACCTTTCCGCGCTGTGTGTTGCTAACAAACTTTCCAGTGCCGGTCAAAAACTTCGTTTAACATTGCAACGGATGTCAAATTTTGCGTTAGCGTTAGGCGTCCTAGAATAAATGTAACTAATATAGTTTTATGAATATAATGACTATCACTGGAACCATATTTTTTTTCCACTTTGCATTATCATTTTTACAGTTCCTGTGGTGAATTCTCTTATTGATCATTGTTATCCTTTTGGTATTATTAGTTCTAATGTTATTGTTGTTGTTTTTAACATTATTATTGGAAAATTATTCCACCCAGTACCTATAGTAATTAATTGTGATGTCAGTTACTGGGAGATTCCGAAGTTCTTGAATGTTTTTTTTCGATAATAACTTTTTATCATTATCATTATTATATGTGGCGATTTTCATTGCCAACTTTGTATGTGTGTATGTCTGGGTATTTACTGTTAAAATAATACAAGGAGATTAACATCATTTTCATGGGACAAACTTGCATCTGTGGGAGACATCTGTGAACAATACGTAGCAAGACCGGATGCAGATTCACACCTCGGTCCAAGCAAATGCCTTTCTCCTTGCGCAGGATGCAGGTGCTGCCTTCCTTTCTCTTTTCGCACCGGATAAACATCCTCCCTCCAAGGAAACCGCGGCATAAAAGGGCACGCGCCTAAGACGAAGGAGACACAGGGAGACACGGCAGAAAGGCCAAGCCACACAGGGTCCAGCTCCACCACCTCGTCCTCCACCCGGGGACACGGGGGTCTCTCGGGGGTCTCATATCTATCTTCAGAAATAAACCAGCAAGTTAAGACCCCTTTCATTGACCGCCCTAAGACCATCTCTGTTACGCTTACATTTAGTGGCTTGCGTGGTCACTTACGCTTACAACATCTGCTGTCCTCGGCTAAATATTTTCATTGCCCTTGGTGATTTCAATGCGGTATCCGGTTGTGGTAATTCCTAATGACTCGGGAGCTGATTTTAGCAGCGATAATAAAATCCTTCTGCGGGACTTTGCTAGGTCCTACTGGTAATACAAGTAATGTGGCCCTGGAGACTGCTCACATCCTTGCTGGAGGATCCTTCAAAACCGTAGGGTCTACCGGAGGGCCGAGGTAAGTGTTACCGATGAAAGATTGGTCGTGGCTGTCCTCAAGGTCCAACTTCAAAACCCCCGCCAGTCGATTGTTCCCCCCAGGCTAGTTCCCTTGAGAAATTGAGGGAGCAAGAGTGTGACCGGAGGTTTTCTGGGGCTATCTCTGATGGTTTCATAGCACTCGACAACCTGCTGGACCCTGTAACCCTAAAAGGTATCTTTGAACCGAAAAGCTTAGCCCCTTTCAAGGTATATATAACCTGTTAGCTCCACAACCATTTAGCCTGTTGAATCCAAGAATGAAACAACTTTTCTCAAGAGTATTCAGACAGCTATTAATGATAAGTAACTCTTCCTTAATCTAAATAAAAAAGGATTTTGGTTTACTTCTAGTAATAGTAATAACAGATTTGAGTAAATTATAGAAATAATTATTCATCTAGGTATATTTGATATCTCACAGTGCACTCTCATTAGTTAAAAGTAAAGAATATAGAATATATAATAGAATATAGATGGTCTCTGTTTCTGTGCTATCTCCCACCATAAGAAAATATCCCTCCTGGATAAAATCAACCATGCTATCTGTGGAATATCACTGCAAATTAATAATAGCTGTCAGCCATGTACCTTCTTGATTCAGCCTTGTGGCTTGGAGGCCTTGCAGGTCAAGGGATCAGGAGCTAGCTGTATCCTGTAGGGTATCAGTCAAGCATCCTCGTTACTCAGCTTGAGAGCATCAATCTCTGAAGGGAACTCCTGTGACTCCATCTCGCATGCAGGCTGTACTCCAGAATGGAGCAGTAACTGTTGCTTCATAAGAAATGGGCACACTAGGCAGTTTTCTTGGGTCATCGATTCTGCTTGGGGTAGTAGGCAAGAACCAGTCATTTTACTGTGTGTATATTTACTGTATATAATCTCCATGAAGTGCAACTGTACCCTACTATGTACTATAAGTACTTGGTGCTATTTTGGGTTAATGAGATTACATTGATCACAGGTACTTCTAATTCACTCTTATCCTTATCCATTTGCCTCCCTGTGTGAAGACACAGAGAATAGTTTTTGAAAGTAAGTTGGTCAGTTGTCAACCTACGGTTATTAACATCAAATAGATGATCTAGGGACTGGACAATGGCTGAGATCACCACTTTGTATGGGCATTGCTCCTACTGCCTCCATACCTCCTAGCCCTTACCTTATAATTCTCTGTCCTCATCCCTCCCCATCTCAAGTTAGAGGCTCCTCATGGAATTTTGTTTCAAAGGCTCTATATTTCCAATACAAGGAGCATGTAGCATTGGCTGAAAACATCATTTGCACTCCTTTATTGTTAGTTCAATGTACAGCAAGCCTACTATAATGGAATAAATAGAAAGCTACCAAAAAAATGTGTGTGTGTATATATATATATATATATATATATATATATATATATATATATATATATATATATATATATATATATATATATATATATATATATATATATATATATATATATACATATATATACATATATATTTATATACAGATATATACATATATATTTATATACATATACATATATATATATATATATATATATATATATATATATATATATATATATATATATATATATATATATATATGTGTATATATATATATATATATATATATATATATATATATATATATATATATATATATATATATATATATATATATATATATATATATATACAGTAAGTCTCCAACTTAAGAACATAATGGGGACCAAGAGGCTGTTTGTAAGTTGATTTGTTTGTATGTCAAAAGTCCGGTCTCCATTACCTTTTTTCCCATTGTTTTAAAGTTTTGTTTACATTAAGAATACCTGTAAATAAATCCCAATAAGTACGACATACCTTATACAGTACCAGACTCTTGAACTATATTCGTGCCCGGGAAATTTGAAGTTTGCTAGCATCTTTCAAACAATTTTTTTTGACTTTAGTACTTAAAAACTTTTGTTTGTAGAATGTAGAGTAGAAGTAGAATGTTCTTAAGTAGGGGACTATCTGTATATATATATATATTTTTTTTTTTTTTCCTTCTTCTTCTTCTTCTTCTTCTTCTTCTTCTGTATATAGTCCATCTGCACTGGCTGATGGTTGCAAACCATGCTAATGTCAAGGTGAAAAATAGCAAATTAAGTTGATAGTTCTGCCAGCACCAACTACCCCTACATTATCGGAGCAGTGCCATGTGGAGTCACCAACAATAGGGGAAAGGAAGTTTTAGCTGAAATTTATCGATAACTAAAAATTTACATGCAGTTTCTTACTAATATTGAGACTACATGATTACTATATTATGAAGGATAAAATTAATACCATATAAAAAGGGTAACAATATATTAATATCTGCCATATTTATAAAATCCTTTAGTGACATATTCTTATCTATATCATCTTTGTTCAAAAGAATAATATATCAATATCCACATTACATATAAAATCATATAATAACATCTATCTATCTATTTTATCTCTGATCATCACAGTTCACTTTCATGTCCTTCATTAATCAGAAACTTCTGAAGCCTTTGTAAAAGGGACATAGTTGTGGCGGTATGAGAGTGTTGTAGGTTCTTGTGTGCGGAGAGGTGGTGCAGGGGGGTCCTCTTCCTGTGGCCGGTCAAAAACAGTGGAAATGCGCACACTGTGGCCCTCAGTCTCTGGAGCTGGTCCTGAAGTGAGCACACCTTGTCGTGGCCACTGGCTGTGTCTTGGGAGTTGTGGTCCTTCTGTGCGTCTCTGTTGGCGTCGAGGGGTAACAGTGGAGGTGGAGGTAGAAGCCCTACCACCCCAGCCTTGTAGTTTTTCCCCATAATATCTGCAAAGAAAAATGAAGGAAAAGATAAAGTATGTTGTAATCATATCAGATCCTTACAATATGAACTGGTAAATATCTATGTACCCCTGCAGTCCAGTATTTGTGGTATTACACCTGAAAAATAATGCTAGAAATCAGCAAACCTGATAGACATAAATCAGGTAGATTATACGACTTAACCTCTTGACTGATCAAGCAGAGAAATTAAAATAAATTTTAAAAGCTGGTAGACTGATGTTCTTAACCCATTCGTGCCGGGCGTCACGTATACGTGACGGGCCCACTGTGAGTTTACTTGTTTGATTGTTTACAAACATAGATGGCTCCACTTGCACTTGTGCTGCCTGTCTCGTCTGTTTACCCTTTTCTTTGATTTACGAAATTATTTTGCGTTATCTTATTTTGCTGTTACTAATGTTTATAACATTATAGTAATTATATTGTTTATAATAAAAATCGATATTCATAGCACTCGTAAAAATACATTTTCCCGCCAAATGAAATCCGGTAAAGCAGAGCCATCTAGTGTAGAGAAATTTCATTAAAAAATATAAAAATGAGCATAGCATTTCCCCCATTTTTTGTACATTTTTACCCGGCGCGAATGGGTTAAGCAACAATTAGTTTATATGGAAAAAAATAGCCTACAAGTGAGACCATTTTCATTTCACAGTATTGGGTGAACTAAAATGATAAAACATGATTATAACTTAACCTAAAAAAATCCTTGTTACTGAAAAAATGTTTAATTTCTAATTAGACAATTAACGTCTGAATTTTTGTCAAATTTGGCAATGCATATAATCGTAAATGAATTTCAAGCAAATATATAGTAAGTGTTGTGCACCATGAAAATGGCTTTTTGGAAATAATAAATGAGGAATCTGCATACAATGAACCATACAAGTATACTATGAGATAAAACAGATTATGTCTGAATACATGATGAGTAATGTTTATCATATTATGAGAGATGTGTGACTACCACCCCCAACTTCTTACCCTAAGCCTTTTTTGTCATGCGGATGCTGCCCATCATTGTCAAGGGCATATGGGAGTCCAGCTGAGTTGCGCCCCAACCCTTTGCCTTCCTCCCAACCTTGCGCTTCCATCAGACGCCTGCCAATGCCACGGGTGTGAGCTTCAAATTCTCCAATCTTAGGTGCTGGTGTAGGACCTGTTGGAAGATGATACATGAAAACAGTATCTTCTCGAACAGTTTTGCTGATACCTGGAGTATCCCTCTAAATGCATTGCTTATATTTGATGTAAGGAAAATGTGGTACTTGTATTTAATCTTCCAAACACAGTTAATGAGTTTTTACTATTTCAGGCTAATAAGAAATAACAAGCAAAAACTCTGTTCCCATGTTTTCAAGTTGTCATTCTACTTTAATGCATAACTGCTATAAACCTACATTTTCCTTACTTATATGATACAGCAAAGTATGAGAATTACTCATTCCACTTTAATCAAAATCTAAAGAAAAATAAGAAAAGAAAAAACAAAGGGCAAAAATATATCTGTCCTTCTGCAATTTTCACACCTTTCTTCCTTTGCTTTGATGGCAATTCTCCCCTTCTCTTCTTGGGAGGGTCTGCTGGAGCCTTGAAAGCAGACTCTGTGAGATGGCCGCAACGAAGCTGGCTACTTTGGACCATTCCCACGCTGTCTTGTGCATCTTTGTCCCCAGCCCCTGAAGTGAATGAAGTTAATAAATTTTTCTATAATAAAACACAAAATAACACTTATAAAATAAGTACCAGTTTCTCATTTAAAATATAGGTTAAAAAAAAAACTCAGTTTGTGGCATTACCTTTTTCATAATAGATAGACATATCGACGTCCCATTCATCTGCAGTCTGTTCATCAAAATCCCCTTCCTGTTCCCTCCAGACTTGGGCATCAGTGTAAAAATTAAGTCCTGGACCTCCCTTCTCCCACACCAGCTATTTTGGTTGAAATTTCACGTTATTAGTTTTTGTACTCTATATCAAAGCTTAAAAAGATCTAAATATGTTAAGTATATAAGGCAATATAGATAATTAACAATAATGCAGAAGCAAAATCACTTGAATGCCATCATGCCATTCCTCTTTCACTGGACTTTTTAAAATGTTTCTATTGATAAATTACTAACCTCTATTTCCTTTTCATAGAGTCGCTCCTTGGTGCGGTCTTGGCTGGTCACATCATTGTGGAAGGTCTCATATCTCTCCCACTCCTCTACCTCCGCTCCATCCTATTATTACAAAGATACTTGCATGAGAAAATGTATTGATGATCAATAAGGTTATGTTAAATTTCAGTGTTTTATAATAAACCTCTCAATGATTTAATGAAACTGCACATGCAAAGGTTGATCTAAATATGCAATATAATTTCTAGTAGATTCTTAGGTTCACAGATAACAAGGGGTAAAAACTAATTCAAAAGAAAATATTCAAGTTATGGAAGACTATATGTAAGGCAAATACAAAGGAAGATATTGAAGGGAATGAAAAGACAAAAGAGCAATAAACAATAAAAAGGATACAATAAAGAAAAAGTTGAAACAGAAATAAAATAAATAAAGTAAAATATATACCTCTTCTTCCTCTTGCAGTTCTAGTTGCGGCTGACGACCTATCTGCCTACGACCTAGTTTCTTCTTCACTTTTGTAAATTCGGCAGATGATGGTATCAGATGACCTGAGGCAGTGAAAGCTACACCATCTCCTGTACTTGCTGTGTTCTTGGGCTTGATGACTTCAGTGCCATAGTCAAAGGGTACTTGTCCAAATCTCTTTTTACCTCTATTGAAAGCAATTGGAATAACATTAGCAGCAGCTGATGAAAGTAATGAAAAACTACAAAATAATAATAGAGATAGAAAAAAACATCAACAGCAATCAATAATCTAAAAAATATATATCATGATAATATTACTGATAAGATCAATAACAAAAACTACAATAATATCAATTGTGATAATGATAATGATGACAAAAATAATAGTAATAATCATAATGATATTGACCGAACAATAATAACTATTTAAAAATAAAAATAACAATAACAACAACAAAAATAACATTCAAAGTGCTGATAAAATCTAACTATAATAATGATAACAGAGAGAAAAAACCTAAAGCACTTACTTGCTTCGAGGAAATTCTAGCCCAAGTTTTTTGATGATGGATCCTGGCAACTGACATGACCTGATGAGGGACTTGAAGTGGCTGGTAGGTGTGCCAATGCTTCCCTGTGGCATGAGAGGGGGCGGATGGAATTCGATCAGGTCAGCTATCGTCGTGCAAATAAGCCGCTGGGAATTACGCTCCTTCCTAGTCATGTAATCATCTTCTGTTATGAAAAATTGAATTTTTAAAAATCTATTCTATTACTTTTCTATATTTTCCATACTAGTTTGTACAAAAAGTTATCAAAAATATTTTCTTCTAAACTGTATTTATTTTTCAAACCTATAAGACTTGTTGCATGTGAAATATAAATTCATGGAAAAAAGTAAAACCTAAACCTTTACTCATAAATTAGGCTATCTATTTGTTCCGTCCACATAACTGACACACTAAATGACATAATTAAAAGCCTTACAGTTAACCCCTCAATGATGGTATCAGAAATCTATCGGTGTCACTGACCATTGAGGCTTCTGGCAACCGTCCTACCAATTGGCCTGGGAGTCTATTACAAGTAGCGGAAGTTTCCACTCAGCGCATTCTAGCGCACTGCAACACCTACTGCCATACCCAGCATGATGAATCTGTTAGTTATGACGGTTATAGATGTGGCCCGGCAGATACGGGTTAAACCTGAACCCAACTTCACTTCTAACACTAATTTTCATGCATGCAATTTCTGGAGGGATCTTTGTCTTAATGTTAAAATGTTATTAAATGTTTTTTTGTATGAAAAATATGGCAGTGGTGTTATACTTTTCCTTTTCTATTAGAAGTCTGTTTTAGTTGACCTAACATGAAAATGCTGTGTTAAATGTTAAATTATACCTAACCTCTAATTACAATGATAAAGTTATATATAATACTGCAGAAATAAAATCAATATAACATACCTTTTTGTACATTTTTATTTAAATCCAATCTGTGAATAAGGCACTTCGATGGATGAACATTACCATCCCGGTCCACAAAATGCTTGTTATTGTAAAACTCCACAAAACGTTCTGTTTCTGAATCTTTAACATCTATGACACAACATGTTCCCTTGGCACACTCGAGCATTTGTAACAAACCACTTATTATGCACGAGTTTTCTCCCAGACTGTGGCTTGGTGATCCTTTTACACCTTCTATAGTAGATCCCGATTTCAGAGGCTTATCAGTTCCCACCTTCTCAAACCCGATTTTTGACTCCTGCGCCTTTTTCTTTTTCTCGCTGATTAACGAAGAGAGGCCAGAGAGCCCTGAGGAGAGCCAGTGAGTCGTCTTCGGCCTGTCATTTGCACGGCTGGTGTCAGACTCATCCACTGTCATATTCTCATCTTTC